AAATGACAGCAACACAAAATGAAAACCATGATAATAAGCAATATAACTCTCCCACGCATTACTTCCTAGTAACACCTAAGAACACACTCATTTGTAGCACGCTTCGAAAAAGTCAGCTCCATCACAGAAGTATCATGAGCAATGAGCATGTGTCCCTCTGAATCAGTCCTCCTGGCCTTCAAACAAAACTGAGGACCAGGACAGTGACAGAAGCTGAGAATTACTACAGTCAAAAAAAAAGGGGGGGGAAAAAAAAAAAATGCTGAAAGAACGAAGCCAACATGCATAAAGCATCATCACATTGTGTTGATTCAAACATTGCAACCCGCATGGGTAGTTTTAAAATACACTCCGTGGCCGACAGAACGATAAACTCTCAGGCTAGTGATACAGCTGTGAATCCTCAACATCTTAAACTAATAGATTTATGTGAAAAAGAAGTGGCTGGTATCAACAACCACCTTAATTTAAACTTGAGAAAGACTGCTAGGGTGATTGCTGTTTTACATTGCACTGCCGTAGTGGTCTGTTTTCATTGACTATGGTGGTAACCACTTGGTGAGATGAAAAGCAGAAGCAAAGTAAAGCAATACTAAACAATACAGCATAGCGGGGAAAAAACCCTTAAAAGAAGGTCAGACAAATATAAAAGAAGAAAGAAGGAAAATTACACAGATATTGATAAAGATTCTGAATTGCAGTGCAAGGGATTACAGGGGAACCCATCCTCCCCACACCCCCTTCTGCTCTCCCCTCTTCTCCTTACCCTTCTCTGCAAATGCAAATGTATCTTTTATTTACGCCTATATGCAAGTGCTGAGATCAAAGGCATTACACCCAGCTTCTGGGCAAGCCAGCACACTGCACAAAAACAAAAAAGCCATTATTTGGATGGAAGAATCAGTCTGTATTACTGACTTGACTGGTCCCTTTTTTATTAGCAGCTGTTAGAGCAGGGATCAGAGAGTGTGCTAGTGTGGTGCAGCTGTTCCACATATGTTATAAATAAGGGCTAGTAAAAGCTCATCCTATTTTTAACCTTATGAAAAAAACACAAGAAGTCACAGAAATTCCCCATTAATGCCTTGTAAGTGGAACTTTTCTCCTATTCTTGACTTTAATGCCCAGAACTGAATGGACAAAACAGGCCATTCTTAAGACAATATTCATTAAAAAAGAAAAGAAAATGCAATTTAGTGGAATCAGATTAAGCCAGCCTGGAAGATTTAACCAATTAGTGTGTACAGTGTCTTCTTCAAAAGCAGACAGCTAATCAGGATGAAAACAAACTCCTGCAATTCTATTTCTAATAAGAATGACAGATCACCGCACTGATCCCTAACACAACCCAAAAGCTGAACCCAGCACCACGTGGCCCAGACACCACCAACACCCACCCTTCCCAAACGGGTGCTCGCCTGCCCCTCACTGGTTTGCTGTGTGCAGCCAGAGCCCATCGCCAGCTCCTGCTCACCAACCCCAACGCTGAAAAGGTCAATGATGATTCAACACAAAGGCAAAAACCCAGCCCTGGGCAAATCCCTCACTCACCTGTTTTCGGGGTCTGACACCGTCATGTTGCGCGTCACGTAGCACATCTTGAGCGGTATTGTCTTCTTGTCTCTGTGGATGGAGAGCGAAAGCTGCGACAGGGGGTCAGCAGAGGTGCAACCCAAGCGAGGAGATTCGGGTGGAGGCGTCTCCCACCCGATTTCTGAAACAGGGGAGCCTTTCTTCACATAGGGGGTTGCTTCTCTCATGTATTTCACTATAGAAAAGAAAAAAAAAAAAAAAAGAAAACAGAAAGCAGTAAATAAATGGATATTCAGTAGTTGCATCCATGTGAGTTCTTTGAACTGGTACCAACCCTCAAGGCTGTTTATTATTTCTACTCGTCCAGCATCACAGCATCAGAAGTGCAAATACCGGAGAGATCTGACTGCTGCCAATCTCAGTATGGTGCAATGAGTAAAATGGGGGAAAAGAACAGAATAGGCGAAATAAGAACATAGAGCTAGTGAAGGCCAGGAGAGCCATCTGACCTCTACCCAACAGAATGTAAGTCCTCATGCAGCAATTTCTATGTACAGAAGCCATGAGCTGGCTGAAGTATAGGGAAGTTTTTAAGAAAGACATTCAACCAAGTGACAGTGAATCTATTATTCCCCTATCTAAAATGTTCCAGCGATACTCCCAGTGCTGCAAACTCACATCTCGCTTCTGGTTCATGCTTGTCAGTGTCCTGCCACTGATCTCGACAGCTATTTCTGCTTGTTGGGAAGCAGTTTTAGCTGATCTACTTGTACACAGATATATGGAGTAAACAAAAAACAATTCACCTCTTAGCCTTCTCTTGGGGAAATAAAATTGAGTTTGAGCCTTTTGTGAGAGTGAAGGTGTCAGATTAGATCTCCTCTCAGCCTTTTCCAATGCTTTTTTCCAGTATGGATAGGAAAAGTGAATGTAGGATTCCCAAATTATCTTAATATATGCAAAACGCAATACCTCTTTTACACTCATACTTCACATTCCCCTCTTTAAGCAGGCAAATATTGCAACATTTCCCTATTTCCCATGGTTTTGAATTCTTTTGGCAGTTCAAGATAACTTTTGCTCTTGATGTGCTTGGCCAAGCTTCCAGCCACAGTCTCCTTCCTCTTCACAAACCTGACGGAGCTCTAACAAGAAAAGACCTCACATTTAAGCACCCTAGTTAAATGTATACATCCAATGTACAAGGCTGTGGATGCCTAACTGGCTATTGCCACTGGACTGTACCCATGACTCAAACAGCAACAACATGAACTGAAAGGTCATGAGCACTGTGAACTTATTTGGGGAAGTTAGTAAAATGCTGTCAGACAAAGTTTCAAGGAAACGGTGCAGATTATCATGTCAGCTCAGCTGAAGAGGCTGGGAATGGCTGAACAACAAAAAGATGGGAAATTACAAAAAGGCATTGTGGTGAAGGAGGTTAAATTAGGGAAAGCAAACTGAAGTTTTTAAGTTCAAAGTGAAAGCAAGGGAAATACTCAGAGGAGCAGAGAAGAACAATGGTGTTTCTGTCAAAACCACAGATAAGGTGAGTAATTTCAGCAGCACTGTTTTCAAGGCACTTCATAACAGCTTTAAGAAGAGAGACACCTGTGCAAAACTAGAGTCCAGGGTCTGTGAGCATCTATTGCCATCTTTTCTCTAAAACACTTTGGTGCACATCTTGCTGTTCCTCTTCTCTCCTTTTTAAAAAAAAAAAATCTGTTGACTTCAATTACAAGGACTTCTGTGTTTAGGTATTTTACAGTATGTTCTCTCTGAGAAGGATCATTTGTGATTTATCAGAAATGCTGTCCTACCCAAGACTGCTGTTTTGATTTCTTTGCCCCATACTATTCTGAGTAATTTTTGAAATCCATTTCTTCCCTGCTCAGGGAAGTGCTGGCATGAGATTCTACCAGGCTTACAGAAAACATTGAAGGCAAAAGGTGCTAAGACTTATGTTTTGATCTTTTTTTTTGTAGACATCTACCTGGAGTCACCTATCTAAAACCCTGTGTCACCTAGCTCTCAAAACCAGTGCTCATCCTTGGGTACTCTGTAAATTACCTGATTTTCAAAGGTGCTGAAAATAAGTGGTTTTAGCCAGTGCCATACAGATACTTGTTTTAGCAGCTGGCATCTCAGTTTGGATGTACTCATAGCCTTTGGGAAACAGAGATTGAACACACACAGATGGGGTCAATCTACTCCTGTTTACACTGAACGAATATGACTTTGTCATTACATTAAATGGGAGAAACAGCTGAAGCCGTAAAAATCATGTTTGACTGTAAACAAAATTTTGTTCCCTTTAAAATTAGAGATTATCAATTAATCTGTTGAAAACAGTAATCCAGTCAGCTTTTGAACTCTGTTACAGTGATGTGCCAGCAAACATGATGCTAAATAAAGGTCCAGATCTTAATAATGTAGCTATTACATCTGTGCTATTTTCATCCTCTTTTAGCTGCAGCTATATGCATCAGACCTGAGCATCTTTTAATTAAGGAAAGGAGAGAGGGGCAGGGATAGGAAGGAAGCCGAAGTGAAAAATTTGGCTCTAAACCTAGGCAGGAACACAGAACGTGAATTTAAATCCCCAGAGATGAGTGCAGAAGAAAAGAGCCATCCCTTCCACGTGCCAAGAAGCCAAGTTTCCATGTGATGCACCAGTGAATTTACAGCCGGCAGCTGCACTGTCTCAGACAGTCTCGTGAAAAAGGAAGCAGGAGCAGGAGGAGAGAGCAGAAACATAACCCTCTTTCCACAAACTGAGCCCCAGCAAAAGTCAGGAAAATTACCTCAAAGAAAAATGTCCTATGAAAACTCCTGCCAACTTCTGAACTCCTAGACATCTAGTTTCTACTAACTCTCAACAGGACACGGATGCTCAGCCCAGAGACTTACATGAATAGAGAACCATTAATATATTGGTAAACTGCTGGACACCATCTTCCTACAAATTTCTACAGAAGAATTAAAAAATAATGTGAATATAGGTTTTCTGTCAAAAAACCAAGAAGCACTTAAGTAGGTTCCTACAAATTAATTCCTATTTCCCACTAAATACAAGTACACCTTTCTAGATTCACACTGAATTCTGCTGGGTTTTACAAACCAGACTTTATGGCTCTCGCACATTCAAATGTGTTTCATATTTTAAAAGCTCCCAAATAGATACATATAAATGCACAAATGGAATATGGGAGTGGAACAGGTGGCAGAGCTTGATCCATTTCTATAATTTTTGTGTTATTTAAATTTCAGAGCCGCTGTTTTCCATTTGCCCCATCAACATCCATAATTACATGCCCATAACTGAAGTCCAGTTTATGAATTTAGCTGAAATAAGGCACACGCTGTTCAGATGATTCATAAGTTGTATCAGCGATTATTTTCTATTTACCTCTAAACTCTGGATGCAAATACTGCAGAACACTCTGTTTTGTAACAATGCACCAGTAACCCTAGTGCACACACAGCAATTTATGGTGACCCCTCACATGTCCACATTTTGCAATCTGTCCATTAACCAGTTCCTAATCTACCTAGTAGAAAGCAAGTTGATACCAGTACGTATTGTAGGAATATTTCTATACCACACTGCACTATCTGAGAATCTTGACTGCAGCAATGTTAATGTATAACTGAAGTTATACAATCCACTTTCATCATCAAGTTTTAAAACCAGAAAAAATATGATACAGACTATTGGACATTACAGTAATAATGTGGATAATATTCTATTCTCAGACCATTACACTCAAGCATTAGATTTCCCTTTGGATACAGTAGCACAAATCCAGGTACTGACTGAAAAAGAAAGCCACTGTAGAGAACACTGTTTTTATATACTGCCAGTGAAACTACCTAATGGATTAAAACACCAAAACATTTAATAAAATTAAATAAGGCATGCCATTGTATAACAACTGTGAATTATGTATAACAATTCTATAGGCATGTGTGTATATATATGCCTTCAGAATAGATACATATGTCTAATATATACACAAATATTAAATATATATTTATTTAAGAATGCTACATTCTTTAAGACCCCCAGAATGTACTCTGCAAACACAGAAATCAGCATGCTGGGACTGAGAAAAAATTCTAATTGTTTCATTCTTATAACTCAATTTACTGATAGACTGTAATTTCAGTCAAGAATTGTCTAAACTCACCCATTTGATGCTATAGCTCAACCTCAGAGATCCTTATATTCAGTACTAATTAATGATCCAGACCCTTTTGGAGCACCACTAATTAGGAACTGCGGTCAAGCAATTAAAATTCCAATCTCCAGAATGCCCCTCCCCACAAAGACAAGAGGAAGAGAAATGGCAATCAAAGGAATTAATCCACCGATACACATTGAAATCTTTTGCATTTATTTTTTGATCTGCAAGACAGGTCACGTAGCTTCCAAAAAAGCACTTCATTTATACGCACTTCTGCCACGTCCCAAGTCTCCACAATTAATCCTTTGTTACTGTTCACAGATGACTTTTACGGGGGGAAGAAGCAGGCTTTTAATGAGAGAAATACTACAGACCAACTTGGTCAGGTTCTTGGCCAGACGCAGTTCTGAGGAACTGGGGCTCTTCTGACACATTCAAACTGTTTCCTAGGAAGGAAGACAAACGCCACTGAAGAGAAGCCAAGCAAAGCTCTTTCATTACTATAGGAATGGGGACAGGATGTGTACATTTATAGCAGAAAAACAAAAGGAACAACATGCCCAAATTTGCTCGAAGAAAGATGATCAAGCAATTCCCCTTTGCAGGGGAAAAGCACAGGCTCCTCTTTATGTATTCATTCTCTCCTAAATAAGTACTCAGAGACAACTACGAAAGGTAAGTAGAAAACATCACCCAGAAGCCTCTTGACGCTATTTTCAAAGGATGCACTAACATTACTAATACCTATACCCAAAAAAAGACAGTTTTTCCAAAGTTCCCATAAATTCATCTTCATCTGGTCTGGTTTCTGTCAGGGTGAAAAACGGCCCAGAGAAGAGTTGCGAGGCAAGTCCTTCACCGTACTTAAGATGTTCTAAGACTGCATGTGGGGATCAACCTTTGGAGTCACTCAAGCCCACAAACTGAAGGTGATGAGATCATCTGCTTTTATCAGCTTATTCAGTATGAAAGGGCTGAAGAGAGTACAAGACCGTCTGCAATAGTATTGCGGGCAGCATGGCGTACAAAACCTTTTCTTGCAAAAATG